CTCTGGACTATGCTATGACTTTCCCTTAAAAATTCAATGTTTTAACCGCCTATATGTACATGTATAACATCTGTTTATGTTGCTTTGCTGTGGTGGTTTTTTTTGATGCCTCAAATTGTGCCGTCTAGGACACGGTGTGAAAGATCTTTTTTTTATACCGTCTCTCCTCACGTTTTCTTTCCTTTTCTTATCTAAGCAAAATATTATTCTGAATAAGAATAAGAAGGCCGCGCTAATTATTTTAGCCGCAGCTTAGTGCACTCTGCCCATCTTCGGACAACTGGACGTACATATTCGCGTTGTATCTCGGTGCAATGCCAATAAAGTTTATTCTGATTCTGATTCCTTGGCTTCATCAGAATCATGGCTGCACTGTTCTGTACATACTGCGGTTATTGAATGTGCTTGGTTGGAATTCCATAAAAAAAGTGCATTGCAGTAGTCCAGTCTTGAGGAGATGAAAGCATGGACATGTTTTTCACCTTTGGAAAAGGAGAGTAATGGATGGAGTTTGGATATGCTTTTGAGATGAAAGAAGGAAGTCTTGCAAAGGTGTTTAATATGATATTCAAATGTAAGATGAGAATCAAATCTTACATCAAGATTAGTCACTGTATCAGAAAAGGAAATGTTTTGGCCAGAGAAGATTATGGAAGAGATGTTGAGTGGGTCTGGTGTAGGGTACCAACTGAAATAGCTTCTGTTTTTGATGTGTTTAATTGGAGAAAGTTGACATTCATCCAGGCTTTTATCTCCTCAAGGCAGGTGATGAGAGAAGGGAGTGTTGAACCTGCAGAACATGCTTAATATAGAGCTGCAAGTCATCTGATTTTACTTGACCTAACTGCTGCTTTTGATACAGTGGACCACAACATTTTAATATCGCGATTACGACATATTGTTGGTATTGATGGCACTGTTCTTAAATGGTTTAAGTCTTACTTGGAGGAGAGAACATTTTCAGTGAAAATTAATGACTCTGAATCATCTTCAGTTCCAATGCAATATGGTGTCCCGCAGGGCTCAATTCTGGGCCCTATGCTCTTCTCGTTGTACTTACTGCCTCTGGGTTCTATCCTTAGGAAACATGGGATTTCATTCCATTGTTACGCTGATGATTGTCAGATTTATTTACCCCTAAAGCAGAAGGATGGACATACGTTCACACATCTCCTGGAATGTCTAGGAGATATTAAAGCTTGGTTGGCCTTGAACTTTTTAAATTTTAATGAAAACAAAACCGAGGTGATGGTGTTTGGACCCAGTGGCTCCTGTGAGTCCTCCTCTATTAACCTGGGACCCTTGGAGAAATATTTTAAACCTGTTATTACAGATCTTGGTTTTAAGGTGGACAGTGATTTTAAATTGGACAGCCAAATCAAAGCCGTGGTTAAGTCCAGCTTTTATCATTTAAGGCGATTGGCGTCAGTGAAGTCTTTTCTTTCCAGGCAGCATTTTGAAATGGTGATCCACGCCTTTATTTCGACTCGATTGGATTACTGTAATGCACTTTATCTGGGAGTCAGTCAGTTGCTGCTCTCACGTCTGCAGCTGGTTCAGAATGCTGCTGCACGACTTTTAACAGGAACTCGAAAGAGGGAACATGTGACCCCTGTCCTGGCTTCACTTCACTGGCTGCCTGTATATTTTAGGATTCATTTTAAAATTCTTATGTTTGTTTTTAAATCACTGCATAATCTTGCCCCGGCTTACCTCTCTGAGCTTCTTCATCCCTACATACCCTATCGGTCTCTCAGGTCAGCAGATCAGCTGCTCTTGGAGGTACCAAGAACAAGAAGGAAGCTCAGAGGGGACAGGGCTTTCTCTGTCATGGGCCCTAAGTTATGGAACGACTTGCCTTTGCAGGTCAGAGAGTCCCCTTCACTGTCCATTTTTAAAGTTCGTCTTAAAACTCATTTATTCAACTTGGCTTTTAACACCAGCGGGATCTAGTTTTTAAATTTTGTATGCTTTTAAAATGTATGTTTTTAACACCAGCAGGATCTAGTTTTAAATTGTATGTTTTCTGTTTTTAAACTGTTTTTATTTCCACTTTTATTATGTTGTGTTTTAATGTACAGCACTTTGTGTCAGCCATGGTTGTTTTAAGGTGCTTTATAAATAAAGTTGGTATGGTATGGTATGGTATCTGCATAACAATGAAAAGAGATCCTGTGGTGAGAGATAATGTGACCGAGGGGGAGGATGTAGACGGTAAATAGTGTGGGCCCAAAATCTGACCCCTGTGGGACACCACAGAGACTGTGAGTCCAGGATATTGCTTCCCCAATGGAGACATACTCAGATCTGTCAGAGAGGTAACAGCGGAACCATTTCAGAGCTGTCTCAGTAAATCCTGCAGTTTGTTGTAGGCAGTGAAGAAGGATGCCATGATCCACAGTTTCAAAAGCTGAGTTCAAGTCCAGGATTATCAGAAGGGATGGAGAACCAGCATCCACTGCCATTAGAAGGACATTTGTGACCTTGACCAGAGCTGTTTCCATGCTGTGAGCTGAACAAAGGCCAGACTGGAATATCTCATAGATATTATTAATGGTGAGGTGGTCATGTAGACGGGTTGCCACAAATTTTTCCAGCACTTTGGACAAAATGGAAGGTTAGCAACAGGCCTATAGTTGACATGGTCGGCTGGATACAAGGTGGACTTTTTAAGAAGGGGGTTGATGATTGCAATTTTTAAGGTAGGTGGGACAAAACCAGTTTGGATGTAAATGTTTATCACAGATGTGATCTAAGGGCTGATGAAAAATATGCTTCTTTTCAGCAGAGAAGTGGGGAAAGAATCGAGGGCACAAGTAGAGGATTTCATTCTTTTGATAATAGCTATCACTTCTTGCTCGGAGACTGATGTAAAGCATTGAAGAGGTTAAGGATTTTGATCCTGAGACTTCTACAATGGTGCAGGTGAAACTACCAAGTTTGTCAGGGCAGACCAGTTGATGTGAATTTTGGTATGAAAAAGTCCATAAAGTTATTGCAGTGTTATTCAGTTGTTTCTGTAAGTGAGGGGGTTTTGGGTTGAAGGAGATGGTTTACTCTGGAAAAAAGTTGTTTGGAGTTCCCAGGGCTGTTGTTAATAACCCCAAACAAGGGAGGATCTGCTGTGGAAGTGGTCTACAGTTACAAATACTTGGGTGTACACCTGAATGACAACCTCAGCTGGGGCAACAACACTACCAGCCTGATCAAGAAAGCACATCAGTGACTCTACTTCCTCAGGTGGTTGAAGCAAGCTGAACTGGGAAGCTCAGTCCTCACGTCATTCTACAGATGTGCAGTGGATAGCATCCTGTCCTCAAGCAGCAACATGTGGCATAGAGGCTGCACAGCTGCAGAAAGGAAAGATCTGTAGAGTGTAGTGAAGGCTGCACAGAAGACTGTTTGGATTCAGCCTCCCCACCTTCACAGACATCTACACATCCAGATGCAGGAAAAGGAACACCTCCATCATGAAGGACCCCACTCACCCAGCAAACACACTTTTTGTCCCAGTCCCCTCAGGCAGAAGGTTGAGGAGCAATAAGTGTAGAACCACTAGACTGAGGAACAGCTTATACCTTGAACCTGTTAGACTCATTAATCTCTAACTACAATAATCACTGTAAGGAAAAAAATCACTGCAATGCCACATTAATTGGTGATTTGTGACTTATCTGTGCTGCTGATTATCCATGCCACTGATCCCATGCTGATTATTATTTCATGTTGTTGTATTCATTCATAACCATCTGCTCACTACAGACTCATGTTCGGGCTGCTGTTGCTACACCGTATTGTTCTACATTATTAGTGTTTAGCGTATAGCATAAATCTTTTAGTGTACCATTTGGCGTTCATTTAGCATAAAGCTTGGTGTATATCTTAGAGCTTAATGTAATGTTTCTTTTTATACTTTGTATTTTTGCTATTTCTGGGTGTAACTGGGACCCTGACTCCATAATTTCGTTCCACCTCATGTACCACATGTGATACAAATTACAATAAAATTGACTTGAACTTGCTCCTCCAAATAGAAAGGAGCCAGTTAAGGTGGTTTGGGCATCTGGATGCTTCCTGGGCACCTCCCTAGGGAGGTGTTTTGGGCATGTCTGACTGGGAGGAGATCCCAGGGAAGACCCAGGACACACTCGAGAGACTATGTGTTTTGGATGGCCTAGGAATGCCTTGGAGTCCTCCCAGAAGAACTGGAAGAGGTGGCCATGGAAAAAGATGTCTGGGCTTCCCTGTTCAAGCTGCTGACCCCGCAAACCAATTTTGGAACAAGCGGAAGATAATGGATGGATGGAAGATCTATTTTGCCATGTTACTTTTGTAAGTGTATCATTGAGAACACTCTTCAACCTTTTAAACTGTGTTGCAAAGAATGAGCCCAAACTCATTAATCCATAGAAAAAAACACCACAGACCATTTACCTCAAAGATGATGAGAACATAGACGCCAGCCAAGATGATTCCAGCAATAGCCACCTGTGTCTCCATGGTGACATAGAGTGATTGGTGGGTAATGGACAATGGCACAAACTCGTTATCCTGCAGGAAGGCCTGAATTGTGATGGCAATGGAGTCACTGTGTAGGAAACAAAGCAGGAGTCATAATATAAATGTTTCTTTTATTGCATGTTTTAGATCAGTGTTCAATGTCCCCCATTTATCACGGATGTTAGGGACCACTGTCCCCCAGCGATAAATGAAAACTGTGAAGTAGGGATTCAGTAGACTAAGTTCAAGTTCAAGTTCAAATAAACTTGGTCATTACTATCTCATGTGGTACATGAGATGGAATGAAATAATTTACACACATAGTAGTAAGTAGTAGTTTATTTTAGTATTTGTATACAGGTATATATTGGTGCTTTAAACCCTTCCCACACTCTTGTAATGCTTCTAACAATTTTCTAAACTCTGAAACCTTTAAAAAAATATTAATTTTAAATGGGTACTCAGAAGAGAAGATGAACTAGAAGAGATGAAGATGAAGAATTAGCTGGCCCGTTATCATGATGAAATTGATGAAGATGAGATGAAACCAGGCACTTTGGCTTTGTCCTTCATAATACAAGGATAAGATGGCATCCTTTTTCAGAACAGGCCTGTTTCGTCCATGTTAAAAACTTGTTCAGATCTATAGCCCCCCTCGGCGATCAAATCATGTTAACAAAGTCCTCTGCTCCTGATGTCAGCGGACGCAGCCTCTCCATGCAGCGAAACACTTTAATCCAAATCATTTTTATCCAAAGTGATTTTTTTTTCTGCAATCATTAATTCGCACCACCATTGCAGCTTCCATCTTAACAATCGTGCTGTATACGGCCGGCAACACCTGCTTAGATACGGCCATCTTAAAGTTTGTCCAGAAGTTCCACTTTCTCTTCAATCGTCAGCATCTTCCACTGGCGTTTTGGTTCACTGTCAGAAACTTTTGAACACACAAAATGTTTGGGAGCCATTCAGTTAAAAAAGAGCAGAGTTAAACAAACTGCCTGCTTCTAGTGTAACAGCGACCATCTGCTACTGTGACAGCCAATTAGCGGCCAGGTTAAACAGAGCTGATGGTTACTGAGCCAATCAGCACCCATCTTACTAAGCATTTTGGTTAAAAAGCATTTCTGGGAGACAAGATGGTGGTGGACATGTGAGCTGCAGTTTAGCTGAGCTCCTGTTGGCCCTAATGAAAAACTGCTTTTTATGATCGTATCCTCACTGTCTTTGGGCAGGATTTTATCTCTGGGACTGGTGTCACTGCATAGCTGAGTTAACAAACTGGTAATATGACCTCGTAGCAGAAAAAAATCTAAATTTTCTGTTCCTTTCTGCCCACGGCCTGTTGTTGCTGATGCAGTCTTGGGCCACTGTGATGAGGCAATGGGTGTACCAGTGGATGCTCCAGCCCCACCTTCGCCAATCTCTGGAAGGACAGTCAAGTCAGCTCTGAGGTCAGACATCCTGGCCTCAATTAGAACTGAAGTTGTAGCGATGATTAAGCTGGAACTAAGAGTGACTCTGACGGAGGATTTTAATTTTATCAAAAGTGAATTGTAGGTGGTCCAGGCCAAGTTGACTAACACCGCTACGGGTTTCAGAATGGAGCTCAACCAAGTTAAACTTGTTACTTCAGAGACTGAAAATGGACTTTCTTTTTACTCTGGTGAGATAGAGAAACTGTGTGGGATGGTGATGGAGTTAAAGAGTGACGTTGATGGGCTTAAAAAGCAGATTGAATCCATGGAGGGGCATACCACACGTGATTATATTAGAATTATTGGACTTTCTCAGTCAGCGGGTGAAAGCCCCTTGATAATAGCTAAGCTACTAATGAAAGCCCTATTATTGGATAAACTGCAGCTTACTGTACCGGACACCAGTAGAAGAGGTTCAGATGGAGAATCCAGAGTTGTCGTGGCCAGGCTTAACTACCACTACTGGGGTGGCTGAATGGTTAGTGCAGTCATCCTCCAATGCAAGAGTTAGGGGGTTCGAATCCACCAGCAGTCACATGTCAAAATGTCCCTGGGCAAGACACTGAACCCCTCATTGCCTTCGATGTGTGTCCAATCTGTCATGATCAGTGGCCCCTGCTGGCCCCCATCTGCTCACTTCCCTGCCCTTTCATGACATGCCATGTTTTCTGCCCCTGTCCTTCTTGTTTTGTTTATCCCTCAGCTCATGTCATTGCTCACATCTGCTCCTGTCAGTTAACAGTTCACCACACCCCCTCAGCCTATCACAGCAATCAGCCCTGATTCCATTCACCTGTTCAGCTCATCTGGTTCACCTGCTTTGCACCCTTTATAAGGTCCATTCTCCCTCTCCACCAGTGCAAGATTATTTCACTTTCCATGGTCCCTGATTTTCAAGCCTTCACAGTTTCATGCCTAGACCTCAAGCCTTGCTCTCTGGATTATTGACCTCACGCCTGCTTTCTGGATTTCCTGTTTTTTGCCTGCTCCTCAACTGGTTCTGTTCTGCCTCTCTGACCACAGTAACGACCTCCTCTTCAGTCTATGACCTCGACTCACGGATCACCTTTTTGGATTGCCCTTTGGACCACAAACTTTCATTGCCCCACTGTTCATAACATTAAAGGCCTCCCTCTGCAGCTGCCAGCAGCCTTATTAATAAAAGCTGTTAATTTTTGCACTCCTGTGTCTGGCTTATTTTGAATCCAAAACCCTGGTTCGTGACACCATCGGTGTATGAATGTGATCTAAAGCACTGATTATTCTCTTTAGAATGATTTGTTAAATTAGCTTTGTAGAGATCTAATAGAGTGTTGTATGAATGGGTAAATGAGGCACAGATTGTGTTGTAAAGAGCTTTGAGTATCTGTATTAGATAGAAAGGCGCTATATAAGTACAGTCCATTTACCATTTACCATTGGAAACATGTAGAAATACTTCAATGGGCGAGCGGCAGCAGCCAGATCCACTTTAGGGAATAGGCCATATTCATCGCAGCCGACTACACCCTGGGAGTGGCAAGATCACGAGCAATAATCACGGAGGAGAAGCTGCTTCTGCGGAACAGACCGGGGGTTCGGTACGTCTTCTCTTCCTGGCGTGACTCCACAGCACACATGGAGGGACTGACAGGTTGTTTGTTGACCCAAAAAAGTGAAGAAATACATCAAGGAAAATATTATTCCAGCTTCAGGCAGTGAGGATGAAATAGATCAAAATTAACCACAGGACCGGCCTCTTTTAATCAACAACTTTTATTAAACCTGTTTTGGACTCAAATAGTTGGCTGTGGTCCTTTGGTGACATTATTTATAACATTGTATTTGCATTAAGGGGCAAGTGCACAGTGTTAATGCTTTGAACTGATTACCATAAGTTTTGGTATACAGTGCACACCCTATGTTAGGAGCGTTTTTCTTGTTCTTTTTTTAGTGATTCCACATTGTTAGTGCTCTGATTTGATAGCTGTACACATTTGTTTTTTATGGTAATATTAGCATTTTTTGTTGTTTAATTTTGTGTTTTTTTTATTTACCATTATATCACATATGGGCAGACAGGAACCCAGATGGTTGGATTTTGTTCCCTAGGTAAGCACTAATGCGTAGATTCCTTAGATAGAGAACTTTACTTATTGGCTTTTATGTATGTGAATGTTCCTGTAAAGTGCCCTGAGACAACTTTGTTGTTATTTGGTGCTATATAAATAAACTGAATTGAATTGAATTGAATCAAATTGAATTGGATTTTCAGTTGATAGAGTTATTTTGCTCTCTCCATGTCCGGGTAGGAAAGAGGGGTAGGTTTATACCGGATCAATCTTCTTTTTTTTTTAATGTGATGTTCTGTATGTAATTTTATTTCTGGCTGTTCAAATATGACCAACATTAAGGATGTTGTCCACTCCAGTGGCTGCCTAGTTAAGTGTGTAAGATGGAATGTGAAATCCCTTAATAGTCCAGTAAAATTCTGAAAAATTATGTCACACATAAATCAGCTGAACACTGATATTGCCTTTTTGCAGGAGACCCATGTGCATTCTGCAGAGTGGAAAATTTGTTTAAAAAAATGGTCTTGTCAGGTATTTCAGCCTAATTTCCAATCCAAATCAAGAGGGGTAGCTATTATAGTTGGTAAACAGTTGAAATTTACAGCCTCGAGTGTGCATGCTGCCGGTGATCATGGTTTCGGTATATGCTCCCAACTGGGACGACTCTACATTTTTAGTAACCTCTTCTCAAATATACCAAATTTGTCAACACATACCTTATAATTAGTGGTGACACAAATTGTGTACTTTCATCTCTTCACCGTAGTTTGATGGGGAAAACTACTCTAACTAAGTCCGCTCAGCTAATTCATTCCTTGAATTGTATGGTGTGGCTGATGTATGGCATTTCTGTAATCCTACCTCAAGATCATACTTGTTTTTTTTCCCCAGTCCATAAGACATTCCAGATTGATTATTTCTTTCTTGATAAACAAATGTTCAATTTGGTGAAGGAATGTGATTATGGGGCTATGTTCATCTTTTATTATGAAATTGGTTATCTCAGTCACAAAATCTGTATTTCATCCTTGGAGATTGAACCCCTTACTTTTGTCCCAGGAAGAATCTACCAAATTTCTTACATCTGAAATTGAATTTTTCCTCTAAGTTTACCGAACACCAGGAATGCAACTCTGTACGGTCTGGGAGGCATTAAATCCCTACTCAAGGGGTCAGGTAATTCCTTACTGTCCAAACAAAATAAGAAGGGGTTGGTATGGCTAAGACAGTTAACGGAGGAGATACTACAATTAGACAGAGAATATAGCCGCTCCCCATCACAGGATCTATATAAAAAAATGTTTGTTACTTCAAACTAAAATTATTTCTTTGACTATGCAGCAGGCAGAGTATATAATTTCTAAATCTAGAACAGGGTCACTACGAACACTGTGAAAAGGCTGGGCACTTGCTTGTACACCAGTTGTGGTGACAGTCAACCAACCAAACTATTACAGCCATAAACAATGAACAGGGAGCTGCATGCCACGGCAATGCTGAAATGTATACATTTTTTAGTACATTTTATCATTGTATAAGACTGAGTTGACAGCTAACAT